TGTGCTTGTGCAGCCACCCCCAACCCACGTGTTGGGGTTCCTTTGTAGTATTATCCAAATAATTATTTGTGAAAGTGATTAACTTTTAAATTTAAATGTCCAAATATCCTACCATGTTGTAGAACCTGACTGGGCATTAATTGTTGCTTCTCGCTTTCCACACAGAGTCCTTTAATGGATCAGAATTATAGAAGGGCTTGGTATGTAGCTCAGGATAGAGTACTTGCCCAGCATGTGAAAGGCCCTGGACTCAGTCTCCAGTACTGAGGAAAGGAAAGGGAAGAAGAGAGGGGAAAGGAAGGGGAGAGGAGGGGAGGGAAAGGAGAGAAGAGGTGATGAGAGAGGAGGGGAGGGGAGGGGAGAACAGGGGAGGACAGAGCAGGGAAAGGGAAGGGGAAAAACAGGAAAGGAAAGGTCTAGCTGTAGATGCATATGTATATATATATATATACATAACTATACATACATAGAGAGAAGTTGAAAATTGCTGAAATTTCTTGGGCCGGGGACATGGCTCAGTAGGATAAGCGCTTGACTGGCAAATGCAAGGATCTGAGTTCAATCCCCGGTTCCGCACCAAAAAAAAAAAAAAAAAAAAAAAAAAAATTACTGAAATTTCTTACACTACTTTTAATGTTCTCTCCCAGATGTTGCTAGAACTTTGATGATTAACTCCAAGTTATGACATTTTTTTTTCTATTTTAGGGAAGGGTCTACAGGGTGCTTAGGGTCTCACTACTAGATTGGACTCATAGTGAGCCACCTGTTTACAGCCTCCTAGGAGCTGGGAGTACAGGTGCGCACCACGATGCCCAGTCTCAATTTCCATCTCAGTGTGCCCCGGGGAGGTGAGGCTGGCACAGCGGGTCCTGGGTATTTAACCTCAGGCTGCTATTCCTGCTTGCAGGTGCTTTAATCCACTGAGCTATTTGGCTGGCTCTCAAGTCATGACTTAGGAGGTACAGTGTCGATTTCAGAGTGGGAACCAGACCTTGTGAGGGACCAGATTTTAGCATGCAGTTGTTCCTTTTGGTTGTTTATCAAGTCTGGTTTAGTAATAGCCAAAATTTGCATGCATAAGAGTTTCTGTATTGAGTTTCATTCAGTTATCTTTATGGGTGATTCAAATAAGTACACGTGTGTGTGTACATGTGTGTGTGTATGTGTTCATTTTGTGTTCACTTTATAACATTATATATCATAAATGTGCAAAAGCTGAGACCTCACTACTTTATGTAAGTTTGAGGGCCAGCAAGATAGCTTAGTGGACTAAGTGCCTGCTTTGGCAAGTACAGGGACCCAGGTTCAATTCTTAGTCCCACATGCCACACCAGCCCCACTCATGGGTGTGCTGAGTTGGTGAATGATTTGAGCATGGTGGTGCATGCCTATAATCCCAGCACTGGAGAGGCTGAAAATAGGAAAGTCACTATGCATCCAAGTACATAGTAGGAATAGAATAAACTAAATTTTAGCAGTTAAAATAATCTTCCTGCTTTATGCTAAGGTCAGTTTGTTGAATAGTTCAACACACAGAAATCAATATATGTATTATACCATTTAAATAGAGCCAAGGACATGGGGCTAGGGGGATAGCTCAGTAGAATAAGCACTTGTCTGGCAAGTGCAAGATCCTGAGTTCAATTTATGGTACCACACACACACACACAAAAAGAAAAGAAAATAGAGCCAAGGACAAAAATGGTATGATCATCTGAGTACACACAGAAAAAGCTTTTGATGAAGTCTAGCACTCATTCATGATTTTTAAAAAACCTGTAGAAAATTGGAATAGTTGATCTTTATCTCAATCCGATAAAAGGCATCTATGACAAGTCAGCAGCAAGCATCACACTAAATGGATGGAAATTGAAAGCTTTCACTCTAAAATGAGGAATAGGACAAGGATGTTCACTCTCTCCACTTTTATTCAACATAGTTCTGGAACCTTTAGCCAGGGCAATTAGACAAGAGAAAGAAATAAAAGGAATAATGATAGCAAAGGAAGAAGTAAAATGATCACTATTTGCAGATGACATGATACCCTACATACAAAATCTTAAAATCTCTCTTGAAAAAATGCTAGATTTAAGACCCAAATTCAGTACCATAGCTGAATACCAAGTCAGCATTCAAAAATCAATAGGCTTCTTATACACAAATGACAAACCCACTGAGAGAGAAATCAGGGAAACTATACCTTTCACAACAGCATCCAAAAAGTGAACTACCTAGGAATCAATCAAATGAAGGATGCAAAAGACCTCTGCATTGAAAACTAGAATGCTTTGAAAAATGAAATTGAAGTGGCTATCAGAAAGTGGAAAGATAGCCCCTGTTCTTGGGTAGGAAGAACCAATGTAGTGAAAATGGCCATACTTCCAGAACTCATACAGATTTGAAGGTATTCCAACTGAAATACCAGCAGCATATCTCACAATGTTAGAGAAAACAGTTCTAAAATTCATTTGGAACCAGAAGACACCTAGAATAGCAAAGGAATTCTGGGCAATAGGTGCAAGGCAGGGAGCATCAGATCACTGACTTGATGTTATGCTATAAAGCTACTGTGAAATAAACAGTGTGGTTTGGGGAGAAAAACAGACATAAAGATCAGTGCAGCAGATTAGAAGATGCAGAAACAACTCCAGGCACATTTGGCCACCTTATATTTGACAGAGATCAAACATATACATGGGAAGAAAGACAGCCTCTTTTATAAATGGTGCTGGAAAAACTGGCTCTGCATATGTCAAAGACAAAACTTGGGCCCATATCTTTGACCATGCACTAAGCTAAACTTGAAATAGATGAAAGATCTAAATATTAAGACGGAAATACTAAATCTGCTGGGAGTGAGAATAGGTAAAGCTCTTGTTGAAGACATTGGTTTAAGCAAAGACTTAACACATAAAACCCCAGTTGTTCAGGAACTGTCACAAAGATTCAGCAACTGGAATCTCATCTTGTTAACAAGCCTTTGTACAGTGACAGAAACCACAGACAGAGTGAAGAGGCAACTCACAATGTAGGAAAAAATGTTTGATGGTGTTTCTCAGACAAAGGGGTATTATCGAGAATGTGTAAGGAACTCCAAAAAACCAGATTTAAAGGTCCAGTCCAAAAATGGGACTTGGAGATAAATATACACTTCTCAAAAGAAGAAGTATGAACAACAAATAAATATATGAAAAAATGTTAAGCATCACTGGCCATCAGAGAGATACAAATTAAATTAACAATGAGATTCCATCTTACCCTGGAGAAAATGGATATTTTGAAGAAATCAATCAAAAACAAATGATACAGGGGCTATGGGCAAAAATGAACCCTTCTCCACTGTTGGTAAGAGTGTAGACTGGTGCAACCACTATGGAAAACAGTGTGACAATTCCTAAAAATACTAGGATCGGAGGTTCCACTCCACCCAGCTATTTCCCTTCTAGACATCTTCCCAGACAAGTTAAGAACATCACAGAACAGCCATGTATGTGCACCCATGTTTATAGTAGCATAGTTTGTCATCGCTAAATCTTGAAAACAGCAAAAATGCCCACCAACTGAGAAATGGATAAAAAGATGTGGCATTTTTCTATAATGAAGTATTACTCAGTCATAAAGAAGGATAAACTGGAGACTTTTATAGGTAAATGGATTCAACTTGAGACCATACTCACAAGTGAAATAAACAAGAAACAAATATGTAAACATTGTTTTGTCTCCTTAGCATGAGGAGAAGCTGAAAGTGTAAATGTAACTCAAAATGTACAACAGAGATTGTAAAATGGGAAGAAACTTTGCAAGGAAAGAGAAAGTGGTTTAGGAGAATGGAAGAAAAGAAGAAAGGGATGAGCTAAGGATATAGCTCAGTAGAGTAAGCGCTTGCCTGGCAAGCAAAGGGCCTGGGTTCAATCTAGGGTTCCGCAAAAAATAAAATAAAATAAAATAAAATAAAATAAAATAAAATAAAATAAAATAAAATAAAATAAAATAAAATAAAATAAAATAGAAATAAAAGAGAAAACAAAAGGAGAAAGGGAAAGAAACAGCAGAAAAAATAGTTAAAGTAGATCTACTACTAATTTCTCTGAGTTGATTGAAAAGATAGGTTTCTGCTAATATTTCTTGGATAATTAAAGGCTGATATCTTATACGCTGAGTAATTAATTTAAAGATAACAATATTCAGTGTATTAACTATTGTTACCTTCCATTTTACTTTGGAATTTTATTTCTTGGGTTTTTAAAAATTTCTTTTTCTTTAAAATAAAAATTAGAAAATAATGATCATTTTTTTCTATTCCTCCAAATATGTGGATTTTCCTATAGCTGTTATTCTCTTTATATCTGCATATTTATTTTTGCCTTTGAATATTCATTTATTGTTTTTACATTGTTTTTCAGTGCTTGAAAATGTTTTGGACTTTGCTTAGGACGTGTGCGCAGCATGCTGTGATTACCTTCGTCACAGTGAATCGGCGCCTGCGCATTATGCATTTCAGTTCCTCTCCGTCCCTGTCTCTCTCCCTTCCCCTATGTTTACTATTTTGAAGTAGAGATAACAATGCTGTCTTGAACAGTCTACAACTTGCTAAGTAAACAAACCTGAAAAATAGTGGCCCTCCCCTAATGGGTGTATCTTACTGTTTAAGTATTATAAAGAACTGATTCATTAACTTTGTGAAGTATATCTGTTTCATGACTTTTATCGCACCCAGTTTTTTTAAGTGTCTTTTTTTCTTTCTTTTTTTTTTTTTTTTTTTTTTTTTTTTGCCAAATGTGGTGAGCTGTAGAGAATTGTAGAGATGAACTAGACAGGAAGGACTCTGATATCACAAAATTTACATTAGGGAAAGCAACACTGTCTGCTGTTTCCTAACAACATATTTGCTTTAAGTGTTTGATATTCATTTTTATTCAGTGACGTTGCGGCGGTTGGCTAGCTTGCCATGTTCCTGTAAGCAGACAATGTGCCCTAATCGCTGTGCTTTTCTCTGCCAGTTCCTTCAAGCATTTGATTGGAGGCCTGGACGACGTTTCCAACAAAGCCTACGAAGACGCGGAAGCTAAAGCAAAGTAAGTGATGCTGCTTTCTTTAGATTTCATCGTGATAAAATATTTGGAATATAAATACAATCCAATATTTTGATAGGTGTAGCAAAATCCACTACTCCGATAATAAGAATCTAATTACTTTAGAGGTCAAAGAAGCAAACTATTTAAGACAATGATTGCACAATGTGTGTATATAGTAAATATGTCTCTCTTTATATATCAATCCTGAATTTGTAAAGATCATCTCCTATTTTTAAATTTTAATATAGGTGGCTGAATATAAATATGTCATTTGTTTTTCCAATAAACTTTCTAAAAACAAGTGGTTTTCATAATCACATGAAAATAATAAAGCTGGGAGTATTTACATGGATTAAATCATTTTTAAAAAAATTATTTATTTTTTAATTTTTTTACCCATCAACCCAGCTAATCTTCTCCTACATATTTTTCCAGAAATCTTTATTATTTTATATTAATCTTGTAAATGTAAGAATTACATGACATGGTAAGTATCTCACTAATTATAACTTGGTATAAAAATGTAATTCTATTATAATGATAATCTATGTCCATGTAAATCTTTTGTGTTTCACAAAGATCTGAAGATAGTTGAGATACACTCTTTCTATAACATTTTAGGTCACTTGAAAAACAAGCAGTCACTGTAATTCTCCTGCCCCCATACAATTTAGTATTCATATCATACAGGACACCCGAAGGATTAAATTGATAGAATTTAGTGTAAGATAGATTGTTCTAGACCATCCTTTGATTAAGAGGCTTTGCAGGAACACAGAAATAATAAGAAATAAAAACATTTATTTTGCATTGAGAAACCATGAAGAGGAAACGTTTTCTATAACTAAAATATTAACAGTGATGCTCTGTGTTAAGCCTAAAAATTATAATATTTTCAAAATATAGGCATATCTTCACCGTTTCTTACTGACATAGTTGGTTTTGGTTTTCTCTAACTTGGAAAGGAGACAAACCAAGAGGTTATGGGTTAACAGTGCCTCTGGCCAGATTTCCTGAGCTAACTGAACCAACCACCGCGCTCCACTGTCCCAGGGACGCCCTCTGCTGCGGATGATTAGTATTTCCATTTCTGATTTTCTGCATTACTTTAAAATGCAAATCAATGGTCAGTTTAGATTTTCATTTCTGATATTTGGAACAATTTCTACTGAGATAACAGGGGCTCCAATAAAGGTACCTTGTCAGTTTAGAAAGTTATAAAACTACCTTATTGTTTAGCCTTACCATTAGAAGACTGTCTTCTCATAATGTATTAAAAATCCTATTTGTGGAACAGTTTAGGTCAAATTATTTTTATTTGTTTTAATGTTTAGGGATGTCAGTGGTAATGTTCAACTGTTTTGAGTACGTATTTGAGAGGTACTGGAAAAAGTCAAAGGTCTTTTTGGGCTAATGCATTTTTGGTGCTTGGATCTGCTTTTTCCCTGTTGAAACGCTAGATAGATTCTTTCATGACAGTTTTTGTGTAATAGTTTCTGTAATTGCACGGTTTCTAAATATGAGGAATTGCGTATTTATTCATCTGATAGCTGCGGCCACTCGGACTTTAATCCGTGATGGAAAGGTGACGACAACTGGGCCATGGCCTGCTAGGCGTCACCCACTGGCCTTACGAAGGTCACTGTGCATGCGCCATGAATTGTGGTGATTTGTGGATTCACTTCCAAATGAAAGTAGAAAGGAAAATTCATACACTGAATTCCAGATGCAGATGATTAGAAGATAGGGGTGGTAATGAATCATACTCGGAGAATATAAAATATGAAGAACCCAGTTTTCTGCTTCAGGGACTGTTATTTGTGAATAAGTAACACTGGTTTGCAGTCTTAATACCTGTCTGAATATTGGTTGCCATGCTTTAAAAATGGGACATTTAGGGCCAACCAAATAGCTCAGTGGATTAAAGCACCTACAAGCAGGTTCAGGGACTGCGGTTCAATTCCTGGGGCCTGCTGTGCTGGCCCCACTCTGGGACGCACTGAGACAGCAATTGAGACTAGGCGTGGGGGCGCTCCCTAGCTCTTGGGAGGCAGTAAACAGGCGGATTACTATGCGTCCGATCTAGTAGTGAGATCCTGAACACCCTGTAGACCCTTCCCTAAAATACAAAATAAATAAATAAACAAACAAATAAATAAAAAAAATGGGACTTATGAGATTTTAATTAAACGGTACTTAAAACTTTGTAAGTTCTAATTAACTATTACAGTGGATGCAACAGTTCATAGAACTAATCATTAGAAATATACTTTAGTGCTTTTTGAATATGGTTAAATTTACAAAGACTGATTATTTCATATGTATTATATAAAGCTAATTTTACCTGGACAAGCATTCCTTAACTGTACGTAGACAAAGTTTACTTGTGTATTTTTGGTAGCAAATCACTGAACTTAGAAAAGAACTACTAGTTTTTTTGTAAAAAAAAAAAAAATTTAGCTACAATTCAGTTGTGGTTAAGGAACAATGGAACATATGAAACAAGTACCTTAACCAAGGTTCTTGCCAACGTTTTTATTTGCCCCGCAGAGTTGAGTGATTTTGCTTTAGCCATTGTGCTTGTACTTTGTCTTATTTTACTGATAAACAATGGAAACATAAAAATTGCAATTAAGATGTAGAACATGATTTGATATGTGTACACTTTACTAGGTTATTTCACAGTCATAATACACAATGAGGGGCCAGGGAAATAGCTCAGTAGAATAAGCACTTGCCTGGCAAGGGCCTGAGTTCAATCCCTGGTTACACACACACACACACACACACACACACACACACACAAAAGACATAATGAATGAGTAATTATAGTTGTGTATTTGTGCTTGAGAATACCACACAAGATACAGTGTCTTAATAAATTTCATCTGGGACAGACTTGCTTGAATTGTTCAATTCATACTAAACCCAAGTGAGTGTATAAATCTCTTTCTGTAACACTCACACAATGGAAGTAGCCTGATGAAAGCAGCCTCTAAGATCTTTGATTCAGACTCTAGAGAGACTGATGATAAGAACTGTATTCCCCCAAAAAAACACGTTAAAAATAAATAAATGCTGGAAGAGTTATCGCTGTGCCTTTTCCACTGTTTCTATTTTATAGACTTCTAATAAATCTTACTCTCTGAAGATTTCTGAAGTGAAGTCATCTCTTAATTGCATATCTTATCACTCAGAGTAAGCAAACTATGAATCATTCCTCAAGGAAAGCTTTTTAGTTGCACTAACAAGTTTAAAAAATCTATTTCTGTTAGCATTGTTGTCTTTATTGAATTTCTCCCCCTTAAGTACATTGTTCCTTCACTTTGTATTTAAGGGAATCAGAAGATTTGCCTTCATTGCAAAGACTGGTAACAGGCTCTAATTGCTTTCAGCTCCCTAGATAATTCTGCTAATGCCTCTAAATTTCTATATAGATCACAATATCTGGATCATTTAGCACTTAGGTAATGATTTGTCTCCACTGTAAACCTATAGTTAAAAAGAATACTCCTGGTTTTTGTAAAAGCAATGAAGATTAATATTTTTAAGATAAAAATAAAATGGGCAGGTTACATATCTATGTGAAATCATTATCAGAATTATTTCAGACTGCCTGTTTGGGTCAGAAAAGAATAAAGTAGGTCTGACTGTGAAGACTGAATCCACTGACACACTTAAATGCTAGACACTCATTAGCTATTAGCATGATGGGCTCCGGGGCAGGGTGGCTCCCCTGCATGTAAGATTATCCTTTTCAGGATAAAATCCATGCCAAGCACTCAGCTCAGGCAGCTTATGCAGAAAGATTGACTTGAGAGAAATATCCAAGAAAAGATAGCTTTAAAACCTCCTTTACTGCAGTGTATGTGAGAGACTCCATGTGTTTCCTAAGAGATATTTTCTACAAATGTTCTTGACAGAAATTTTACCTTTTTGGCATGTTTAAGCTTCTCTTCATTGCTGCTCATTATCCACCAAAGTCTTCCCTTTTAAAAATTTGAGTTATAATCACTAAGACATTAGGAGAGACAACATCAGATCCAAGTTAAGGATCATTCAATTGTATTTGAAACAAAAGGTAGCATGCACGAAGACAGGTACATAACATTTTTCTTGGAGAATATGTGTCAATTCACTTATAAACGTGTAGAAGTTTATGGTGAGGACTCTAGTGTGTTAGTGAACAAACACTGTTTGGACTGGGCAAACCACTCATTCTTTGTCCCTCTAGAATGAACTCAGAGGATGGCGCCTCCCCAACACAGCTTGAGCAGGAGCTTGATTTTCAGAGATAAGCGTCACTGAGCTGATACCAAGTTATGAGAAATTTCAGCAAAATAGCCAGAAGTATTTAAGCGAAACACTATAGATCATCAATATTAAGAAAGATGTGAGCATTGTTCATTCCAGTAGCAGAGGAGAGAAATTTAGACTGAACAAGTGGATCACAAGTCCTTTTAACTTTGGCAGATGAGTCTGACCACCTCCGTGGGGTGAGGTTCCCACTGCAGTGGGTGATTTCTGGGTCAGAAGACCTTTACTGTTTTATTTATGTATTTAAAGTATTGTCTTCCTCAAGATACCTATAAAGATAAATTCACCTAAGAGGCATAGTCACATTTTTGTAGCTTCACAGCATCAATTTGCACATAAAGTCTAACTCCAGGAGCAGCACAACGCTGCCACCGAGCACAAAGAGGAAGGAGGGATATTAAACAAGAACCTGGAATTTGCCAAAGGCTTAATACCCACCTTGGCATCACCTTTTTATCTTGCCCTACTCTCCTCACCATGCACTTCAATATTCTCATTTTTTCTCTGTTTTATTCCCTCAAAAAAACATTCACAGTGGAGTCACATAACACAAACAAGGAAAAATTTGCAAAGCCAACAAGAAAAATGAAGTTAGAGAAGGAGAAATAAATCTATCATGTGAAACACAGTCCTTATTGGAGGAGGGCGCTTTCACATGAGATCACGAGGGATCTCCCAGCTGG